TGTCTCACTCTTTGTAGGTGCTGTTCCAACTTTTAATTTTCGTTGGCCATTTACTTTCGTAGGACTTAAACATTTAACCTCATGGTTAGGAAGGATTTTTTTTTTTTGTCTTCAAATATATTTATTCATGGATATTGCAACTGGGTTTTAGTGGCAATGCTCTTATTCACCTGATTGATTTCAGCATATCCCTCTCTCCTGAACCGCGGAGCACTTGCTGGTTCTGCCTCAACGCCCCGGTGGGTTTTATTGCGAAGCCCTGGGGACTCTTAAATGACCCTTCAGTAATTATTACACACTTGAAGCCCCTACGTCCCCGTTCCGGTGCTATCAACAATCAAATCAAGCCCCAAAATAAACATACGATTTCAAGCATTAATTAGAAAATCTGCATGTTTTCAATAAGGCTAGAAAGTAAACATGCCCCAGCCAACCAAACAAAACAAATAAGCAAAAAAGAAAAACCTACAAGACTCGAATTCTGGTAATTTGTTTTCTTTCTTTTTCTTTCTTTCTTTCTTTCTTTCCCATCTCAACAGAAAAATCGTTACCGCTATGTCCTTGAAAAGAACGCAACGTGGTGTTTTAATTTGATTGAAGTTTTGATATTTCCAATACACTTTTAAATGGGTGCTATTTCCTTTTTGAGTAACCTAAGGGCTTCAGAAAACAGAAAATTCGCTCAAAAGACTAGAGGCGACATTGGGGTCAAATCTGGGATTCTGACAAATGGACTTGGAGAGTGGGCTGTCCACTTTAATAAAGGTTCCGATGCCACAAACCTAAGATCTTATACCCCATGATTTCAGTCTGTGGGAAAGTTTCTTCCCCCCCACCCCACCCCACCCCCGCCTCCCCCGCGTTGCCTCGCGCCAAAATGTCCTTCCTTGCTAAGTCGGGGGGAAGAAACGGCCTTCCGTTCCTTTCGACTTCAGTAGCTCCCGCTAATGATAAAGTGCTCCTTTCGTGATTCCATTGGAAATGAAATAGTTCGAGGGCCTTTAAATTTTTTCTGCGTTTTTAGTTGGTTTCTCTTATGTCCCGCTGAAAAGCTGACGTGGTCCTAGGTATTTCAAGAAAAGCTCACAAGTTTACAAACAAAACGGGACTCGAGCAAAACTTTTGTCACTTTTACTTTCTCAAATTAAAAAAAAAAAAAAAGACCTGCTTTTCATAAGTGTGAAATAGGAAGCGAGAGAGTCGAACGGAGTATAAGCCTGAAACGACCTATAGTTGGGGTCTCTTAGCCTCATCTTTGAAATCGTTGCAAACCTCCCATGCTCACTAGTGATTTTTAAAGGAGGAAAGCAAAGTCCTACGAAAGTGTATCTCCAGCCCCAGTCAAAACATCAGTTGGGCAATCTGGCCTCTCTCCCCCTGCACTCCCGAGCTGCCACTTCAAAGCCGCTGCAACAAGTCAGTAATTGTAACGTTGCATCTAAATATTTAAGCGAGAGTCTTGCCGTCGCGTGTCCCATTTACAGTCCTCATCTGTCCTCTAATTCCATTACGGCACAAAGCAAAAATGTTTCCCAAAACTCACAAACAGGAAAAGCGTCACCCTTCTGGGGGACAAGGAGGAGGAGGAGGAGGAGGAGGAGGAGGAGGAGGTGGAGGAGGAGGAGGAGGAGGAGGAGGAAGAGATGAAGGAGCAGTTTCTATTGATTAGTCACTGCTTTTGTGTTAAGGGCTTTCTTTAAAATAAGAAAAAAAATGGGGGGAGGTTGCAGAAATTTCACTAATGTGAGCCTCAGGCAAGAGAGAAAAAAAAAAAAAGGGAGAAGGAGGGGGGGAGGCGGGCTGTGTCTAGATGAAAGTGAGAAGGACATAAAGGAGGCAATTGAGTCGGCTGCAGCCCGGCGAGCTAAGCTTCGAGCCGGCCGGAGCGCAGGGGAGGGGGCGGCGCGGCGCGGCGCTTTGGCGCAGGGCGCTGGAGTGGGGGCCGACCCATTGTGGCGGCGCCCGCGGGCCCGCTCGGCCGCTCTGGGGGAGGAACAGAGGCGCCCATTGAGTGGCCGAAGAGGAGGCTGTACCCACGGCCCCCGATCCTGCGACCGGGGCTTGGCTCCTCCGACTGCGCCTCTTCCGATCTCGGTGCTGGCCGGAGGCCCGGGACCAGGCGCTGGCGGTGGGTGGGTGGGGGGCGCTTTGCTGTCCCCGGCCTCCCAACCTTCTCATTCCACCCGGGCAAAGGAGCTGGAAGGATGGACCCAGAAGGGGTGCACAGCGTCTAGTACGCGCCAGGGCACAGGGGCCTGAGCGCGCCGAGTCTGCACGCTGAGCAGCTCTTGGATTGGGCAAGGGACAAGGGAAAGTGAGAAGGTAAAAGGGGTCACCTGGGAGAAAGGCCAAACACTGGACAGAAAAATGAGAGCAGCTCTGACATCTTTCAGGGTGCTTCTCTTCCTGTGTCCTAGAGTCTGACAGGCAGGAAGATGTTCCCCGGGAAAGCCAGTCTTAACACCCCCTTTCCTTCCAACTCCCCCGCCCCCAGGAAGCTGGAACCTCTAGAAGAGAGCGCCTTGCCCTGCTCAGGGCACCCAAAGGTCGTTTCTCAGCCATCCTCCTCCCTCTGGGCTAGGGAGCTCGGGTCGCTTTCTCAACAGTCGTTCTATTTTACAGGTGGAACAGCCGCTGACTTTTGGTGCCCAAACAACAGGGGTAATTTTTTGAGGTTTCTAGACTTCCCTTTAAACTACCCTTCACTCTGTCCCTTCTCTGTGCCCCTCTTGCCCTCCAGGGCTTATCTGGAAAGGGAGCTAGAGCCGCTTAAAGAGAGGGACCCTGCCTCTTCTCTGACAACCCCAAATTAAATTAGGCTTCAGCCTCTGTGGAGTGTGTGTGTTTTCAGCGGTACAGCCCCCGCTGCGGAGAATACTCTGATTTTTAAAATCGTAGCAAATGCCCTTGAATGGCAGCCGGCCCAGCTAGACGGCCCAAAAGACTAGAAACATTTTGTAGGTGAAATAGCCACTTTTTCCACGCTGGAGAGTCCATAAAACTTCCTGGCGCAGCAGCTATTGGAGCTCATTGAATAATTCATCCCTCATTGCAAGCCCGTAATGTCTATTCTCGGCCCTTTGTGGAGCTGTTTTCTCTTCTTTTCTCCTTGAATTATAAAAAGGTTGCCTTCCTTTGTTCACATCAAGCTGCTGCGAGCTGGAGCTTTGTCTGGGCCGAGCTAAAGTGTGAGTTTCAATGGACTCTCCAGGCTTTGTCTCCCAAGTTCATCTCCAAGTGTAGATTGTGTAGAGAAGGCCTTCTTTGTAAAAGCTGGAAAAGTTGTACAAATGTTTGACCAGCTCATTTGGGGCGTTTTGTCTCCTGGGCCTCGGTTGCCTGTGCTGAGAGGGAGCGGCCAGTCTGCCGCCAGGCGCCTCCAGCAACAAGTAGCCAAGCTGTGCTACCCCCACGCTGCTTCTTGAGCCTCTCTGATAGCTCTGGGCTTCCTGCCCCTCTGCCCACAGGGGCCCGTTGGGTTTGGGATTGGCTGGTTTCTCTCCCTCCTCCCTCCCCAGTACCCCTCTGCTGCATCTAAGCCTGGAATAAAAGCTGGGGTGTCTCCTGAGAGACTAGAGCAGAAAAGCACCGCTCCCGAAGGAGGGGCTTAGGCTAAGACCCTGTGAGTCCCCTGCTTTTAAGGAAAGCAACAGTCTATGTATTTCCCTGCCCAGCAAGCCTTGGTTTTTGGTGTCTTTTCCTGATTGCCCGTGTGTCCCAGAACATCGACACTTCTGTCGATCCCTGAAATCAGCTGTTTGAGTTTGTCACATCTAAATTTAAGTGTCTCTTCAAGGTTGTGGACAGATTTTGCCTTGGCTGCTGCCATCCACCTGGGCTGGGCAATGAAAGCAAAAGGTGTGACCAGCTTTCTACCTACAGTCCTACCCTGGAGAACACCTGCTGAGGGTACAAACCCAGCTGGTCACAGTGGGTGTCCAAGCCCACCTGAGGAGCCTCCTACCCTTCCACCACAAGTCAAAACACAACCCACCTAAGTCCCGGGCCCTGAAGGGGGCAACTCAGGGTGTGGCAGGGGTGCCAGGCGCCTCCTGACCCTCTGCGACTTTGAAGAGGTGTGACCATCCCCAAGGCCAAAACTGCAGAGTGGAAAACGGCTGCAGGGATCCCTTTCCGGTTCAACTTCCACAGGTTGGCTTTCCTTTTGGGAAGAGGGAGACACCTTTAGACTCTCCAGACCATGTGTGGTGGGTATAAGGGAAGTAGGCTGCACTTATGGCTCCAAAGGAGAGACTTTTTCTTGAAGATGACAGGTCACAGCTAACAAGGAGCAGGTGGCTTGCACCTTCGGATGAAGACAGGGCACCAACACCACAGCTCCAAGAACCCACATCTTAAGCTGATTTTCCTTCCTAGACACACACACACACACACACTCACAGAAATCAAACCCCATCGCATTTGAAAACCAATTTAAAGCATAAAACAACCATCTGACATATATATGCATGATGTACTCTGTATGTATTTATAAGGCAGTCAAGGTGGTGCAACTCTGGGGCCACACTGCCCCCAAAGAGTTTTGAGTCCTCCTCTCCCCTCCCCTCCTCTAATGATGGGAACCTATCTAGAGATCTGGGCCTTCCCTTAGGACGCAAAAGTTCCTTCAACCTCCAGAGGCTCACAGACTGTCCCCAGCCCCTCAAGCGCTCTGAGACTCCCGGCCCCCGCACACCTGAGGGCAAGAGGGTTGCCTTGCACCAAAACGCAGTTCGCAGTTCTAGACTCTGAGGGGCTGAGGCTGGTGCAGAAGAAAGACTTGTAAGTAGAAAAAGAAAGAAGAGAGATTTTTGTTTTAGCTTCAAGTACGCCTCTAGTCTTTCACTTAAATGCCCTTTCCCGAGTGCAGTGGATAGGAGCGAAGAGGGACCTTGACCCGAGCTGGGGCCGGCCTAGCGCGCTCGGGCCCGCGACGATAGAGCGCGGGTGCCGCCGAGGCACGGGCTCTGAGCGCTCCGCTCAAGCGCGCCTCCGCTTACCTCGCTCGCTCAGGATGCCGTCGATGCTGTGTTTCGCCTTCTTCTCGCTCTCCTCGGCCTCCTTCCTGTCCAGGTCAGCCTCCTCTTCTTCGCCTTTCCCGAATTTACTCCTCAGGATGCGGCTGATGGAACTCACTGGGGGCAGGAGGAGGGTGGGAGCGCGGACGACTGAGCCTTGCCAGGCCGTGCAGGAAGGAGCCTCGAATCCCCAGCCCAGACCCTAGAGCGGCTGCCTTGCACAATTGGCCTGTCTCCTCCTGCATCTTGGGGCATCCTCGACCTTCTATCACCCCTTCAACCTCCCCCTCTAACCCCTGCCCCCACCCCCAAATCCTCACCTCCAAGTTAGATCCAAGAGAACTGCCGTCTCTGTCCCTCTCGTCCCGGCGGAAAGCATTTCCCTTTTTCACTCTATAGACGGGGCTCTAGATCTCGACTCCAAGAGATTTCTCCCGCCAGCCCACCCAGCATCCCCTACCGCCACCTGGGTATTGGGCCTCCGCGGTTGGCGTTAAGGGAGGAAGAACCACAGAGGGCCCGTCCCCTGCAATTCAGCTTTTTTTGAGGCTATAAAGGGTTTAAATTTCAACTGCAGAATCGTTTCCTATTGTAAAAAATCAAAAGAAAATGCACTCTCCCCCATTTATTTTTTCCAGATTCCAGTCTGGTAAACAAATCCATACTCTTGAAATATCTCGTTCTTGCAGGGGGGAAAGGGAGTTTCCTTTTAATTAAAAACAAACTCTCCCGCGCGCCCTCGCGCTCGCCCCTGCGTTTGTCCCTCTTCTCCCTCCGCCTTCCCCCCGGATGCCCCGGGCGCCGGATGGTCCCTGGGACTCTCGGGAAAAATCCGGGCCGTTGCTGAAGCCTTCCCTCCTTTGCGCTCAAGGGAAAGCCTCGGCTGGCGCAGCCCCATCTCCCTTCGGCTGGGGTTACCAAAACATTTGTTTCTCTTTAAAAGGGAACATCAATATTAATAAACGCCTGGTCTCCGCCTCGCGTTTCCTGCCTTTGCCTCCTCGACAGAATTCCTCTTTGGGGAGCCCTTGGCGGTCTCTCAGCCCCAGGACTAGCAGCTCAGCCCCCTCTCGGTAAAACACCGCGAGCGCGTCTGGCTCGTGAATATATTTCAGCGCCCTGGGAGGGGCTGCCTCCCGATCGCCCAGATCGATCTTCTGGGGTATTGTGGCTCGGATGACCCGCCTGGGGAATAGCGTCTGAGGGCCGAAGACGTTAATGGGCCTGGTACCTGAGGGCACAGTGTTTCGATCACAGACAGCGTCCTTAAGTAATTTGTCTCGAATTTCCCAGCTGAACATGCCCGGGTTCTCTCTTTTGTATTCCTCAATTTTCTTCTCCACGTCAGGCGTTGTCACCTGCTTTAAGAGAACAGGCAGGCAGGCATTGGTACCCAGTACTCTGGGCCAAATGTGGGGGCCCTACGGCTTCCAGACCCAGCGGGATGCTCTTTCCTGCACCCCCAGGGGAAGGCCCCTTGTCAGCAAAAGGACCCCAACTCTCTGAAGAAGTTCATTTTCAGGAAGGAGTAGAAGTGAGATCACCCAACACCTGGGGGACCCTCATACTCCCTAGGTAAGCTTAGACAATCAGGATAAATTAAGAAGACTCATAACATCTTGGGGGTGGCAAAGGGTATACTTTCCGATCCCTGAAACTAAAGAAAGTCAACTCGTTACACAGAAACAACATGAAAACGAAACTAAAAAGGGGGAATGTTTGAAAGAGAAGCAAAAAAATCAAGTTAGATCTGCAACTTGTACTTCTCCCAAAAGAGCACAAGATTTTGGCTAAATTGAAGAACAGAATTAAATGCAAAAGCTAATTATATAGGCTTTAAAAAAGGAATCAAATATGGATAACAAATATGGATAATTTGAGAGAGTATCTATTTTCTTTTCTTTTCTTTCTTTTTTTTTTTTTTCAATAAAAGTAGTTCCCAGAGATTCTTGGAGAGTTTGCCAGGGGATCTGGGGCAGGGGGAAGATGGGGAGCACGGCATTTGGAAGTCTTCAGTTTACCAGAACCCTCCTTTTGATTCTGCCCTGTGGCAACTAGGGAATTATACTGGATTTTCCCCATGTCCAGAAGAAAAGACAGACCCTGTGTAATCCCCTCCTACTGAGCCTTAGCCAGTGTGACTCTTTCATTTTTTAAAAGGAACCAAAATATTTTGAGGATAGTACCAAACTGCTTTTTAAATGCCAAGTCATCTTCTCCTTACAAAGGAAACAAATCACCCTGGCTTTTGACTCCCTGAAGACAATTTGGACAGGAGGAGATTGGGGACAGAGGGTGGGAGAGAAAGCCAAAAGCAGCTCCTTAGATTAGGTTTGGCAAGGGCAGTGCAGTGGGTGGGAGCTGGGGAGACTCTTGGGGAAGAAACCAGCAACAGGTGGGCACATCCAACTGCATGTTTTAGGTGTCTGCCTATTAAAATAATTTGGTGAGTATACTAGGGTTCCGACACATTTTTAACAATGCTTTATCTCCTTTGCAAAAAGGCTGGAGTTTTCCCTTAACATTCATGGAGGAACAGCGGCCCAGTCAGCAACCGAGTCCTCCCACCCCCACCATACGCAAGCATAGACGCACATACACCCCAAAGGACCCTTCCCGGTCTTGAAAAATAACTCCTTAGAAAGCTCCAGATGACAGTCCTTGCCCCCTGCCCAATGTTCCCTAAGGCGGGAGACCACAGACCCGGAGGCCTCCAGGCCCAGGCCCCCGCGCTCACCTTGGGCTTGCTGCCGCCAATGGCACCAGGACGGATGGACCCAGTCTCCTGGTACCTGCACAGGATCTTAGAGACGCAGCCGTGGGACACACGCAACTGGCGGGAGATGACACAGGGCCGGATTCCATGGTGGGCCATCTCCACGATCTTGTGGCGGATGTGGTTGGGTAGTGGCCTGCCGTTGATAAACACGCCACCAAGCTGGTTGACACGGCCCTGGCCAAGAGGAGTAGACACTGGGCGTAAAAGGCAAAAAGAGAGGCAGAGGGAAAGTCATTTTCAAAGAACAGAGAGCAGCCTGGAAAACGAGCCCATGTAATTTCGCACTCTTTTGGACAATCAGCATGTCACAGTCAGAGCGCTGAAATTGCTCGACACCCAGCTACCACCCCCAGATCCTTTTCCAATCACATCTGTTCAAATTATGAAGCAATTCCGGGGCACATAATCTTGTGTGAAGGGACCAGCAATGGCAAAATAACGTGCCTCAGAGAAACTGTCTTCCTTTTGGGCCCAGAGAATCTGGCAACTTTGGGAGGTGGGGAGACCCTGCGGTCAGTATCTTGAGGTTTGCTCAAGAAAGAGCGTCCTGACAGAGAGAAAAGTTGACCTAGACGCTCGCCTTCTGGACCCCCACTCATACCAAACCATGTTCAATTGGAACCGCTCCCTTTCTGAGGGACTTGGAGGAAATGACAGCCATTGGGGTTTCTGGCTAAGAGTGCAGAAGTCAAAGGTCAAAGAGGGTCCTAAAAGGAGGCTTCAGGTGGCAGTGTGTGTCACCTGTTACACCTTGAGATAGAGCCCACAGGTGGGTCTGCTCACAGACCCCCTCACCTCCATTCATGCTCTGGGATGACATTTTACTCTAGACCCAGCCTAAAGGGCCCAGTGGCTGGATCAAAATCCCCTTCAGGCGCTCCAGCCCCGCAAACTCTCCAGAAGCACTCAGGCTTGCAAGTCTTCCTGCCTTGGGAGTCACTTCCAGATGACCAAAAGGCAGTTCCCCAAAAGGGTTATGGAAACTTCAAGATGCCACTTGAGATGAATGGAACTCTAATTAATTAGTCAATTAATACTAAAAATCCCAGCACGATGCCATGGAATGTCTGCCCCTACACTTTGCACCGGTAAGAAAAGCCTTTCGGAACTAACCAGAGCTTAGCAAATATGGGAGCTGCCGGGACCATTCTGAGATGCTTTGGGTTGGACAAAATGCGGAGAAGTTGCTTTCTGGTGCTCAGGAGCTGGTTCATCCCTTCCCCACCGGGGCATTTCCAAAACAGCAGGAGAAAGTGGACCCGCCTGGAACAGGCCTGGCCGTCAGGCTCCACAAGGGTTTGCCCAAAGAACTGCGCTCTGTTTGCAGGGAGAAAATCGAGTGGAGATCTCGACCGACTGTTAGCTTCTGGGGTAGGGGTGCCCAGCGGATGGGCTCCCTGGGCACGCCAAAGAAGCCAGTGGAAACCCTGGGTAGAGTGGAGCAGCCCGGCTACGGCCCTGGGCTCCGGGCGGCGCCGAGGCCCTCCCTTACCTTCCAGAGGGAAGCCGCTGCGCGGGTAGTTCTGCCCCGGGCCTGGCCGCATCATCCTGGGCACAGCTCCGGCCAGCGTGGTCATCCTGGGGGCAGCTTCGCTTGGAAATTATATCCAGGTGAAGGCGAAATAGAAAGGCAAGCGCGGCTCTTGGCGACCCTCGGAAACTCCCCGGAGCGTGGAGAGCCCCTCCCCAAAAAGGCTGGAGAGAGAGGGAGGGACGCGGGGAGGAGGACTGCTAGTCCAGAGCGAGGCTCGAGAAGGAACCGGGGAAAGGGGCGGGCAGGGAGGCCCCAGAGTCCAGGATCGCGAGCCCAGGGCGGAAAAGTTTGGTGCGAGTCTGAGCGAGTGGCCCTGAGTCTGGGGGCGCTGGGGAGGGGGCTCCGAGCGCCGCGACGAGTGAGGGGTGGGGGTGAGGGCGGGAGCGCGGCCGGCCTGAGTCTCCTCCCGTCGTGACACCGAGTGCCGGGATCCGGGCTCGGGAGCATTTATTAGTTCTTTCACCCAAAGCTTGGTCAGGAGCCCTGAGCTGCGATTGGCCGACGGGGAGACCGTCCCGGGTGGCGGAGACACGCGCTGATTGGGCGACAGCGACCACTTTCTCTTCCCATCCGCTGCGATGCCAAGGCCTTGGCCGGCCCGGCGAGGGACCCACGCTGCGCCCCTTCCCGGGAAGAGTAGGGCAGACCCGTGGAAACCGGGAGAGACAGCCCGAGGGAGATAGCAGCTGCAGAGAGAAGAGGAGTCCCTATTTCTCTTTCTCACTCTGCGTGTGTCACTCTCTCCTTCATTTAAACCATTTCTTTGTCTCTGTCTCTGTGCGTATCTCTGTGTCTTTCTCTGTCTCTGATTCTATTCCTCTCGTCCCATTTCCTTGTCTGTGTCTCTATTTTTCTACCTGTGACTTTTTTCTCTCTCATTTTTCTGGGTTTACTACCACGGGAGGGGGCGCAATTCCAATGAGAAGGCACTGGGAGGGCCCGGACATGTGCAGCCTGCCTTCCTCTGGTGAATGCCCCTTTGGCCTAGGTTTGTTGTAGGGGTCCTCCCGGTGGGGTTCCTCCCAGGAGGAGTCCAGGGTGTGCTGATAAGTTCCTTTGTCTTCTCTGTCTGGGAGCTGGAGTCGTGAGTGTGAAGCTTAGGCAGCAGTGGGAGGCCCTAGGACTCAAGCGTTGAAGTCTGGGGAGGGGAGGGAGAAGAAAACTGTCTCCTCTTGATTGAAAAATCCACTCCGGGAAGCCGCAGCTCTAAATCTCGAGGTGTAGGTCCCCAATGCCACAGCAGAGATGTGTCTATATGTTAAAGTTTTGCCCGGCTGCAGCGTTTGTTCTCAGGAATTTATTATGGTATTCAGACTAAACTGCTGGAAAAATAAAAGGAGCGAAGTCTTGGCTAGGAGCTGAAGTGTCCCCAGCAGGATATGACGCCAGGAGTGTTGTAAAGACTGTCTGTCCTTAGAGAAGGTACCATTGTGCATAGCCTTTTATTTATAACTTGGTAAGTGCCAGAGAACTCGCCTCCTTTACACCCCCGAGTGCCAGCCCCGCGCTCTGCACTGTGCTTTATTCGCTCCAGTCCTATTCAGGGACTGTCAGTCCGGGACTGCGAGGTATTCAGGGCCTTAATCAATCAAAAGGATGAGAATCAGGCAGGTTTTCCCCTTTGAAATAAAGGAAACAATGACTTCTGGGCTTCAAGTTCCCCCTTTTCCTTTTACGATTTTTAAATTTTTCCTGTGCCGTAGTTCTCCATTTCTCCACCTCTCTCTCTCTCTCTCTCTCTCTCTCTCTCAGCTTCCCATCCCCCAACTCCTTTGACAGTTTTTAAGAGAACTCGGACCCCAACCCCACTTCCCCACCCCCTAATTAAGGCAAACACAGAAGGGAAGATGGACGGGGTGGGGGTAGCCGGGAGCGTATAGCCGTTCAGCCCTCCTGGAGTTGGTCCTTTAAAAATCCACTCGCAAGTGGGAAAAGCAGGCAGCTTTCGGCTGGGCTTCGACACGGAAAGGTTTGACTGACCTCCGGAGCAGCCGTGACAGACCTCTAGAACCACGGGAAAAGTCTGGACATCTCCTCACCCGCCCAAGAGGGGAGGGCTCACGTGCATTCACAGTACAAAGGAGAGACGCAGCTTAGAATGAAGCCCTATTTAACCTGATTTTACGTAAAACGATTCAATTTGCCAAGGGGGAAAACTTTCTCAGTTCCCTTCTGCAAACTTGGTGGTAACCAAAGTCCGCCAAACCACTTCTCAGGGACTGCATCTCGGGAGCTAGAATTTTTTTCAAGCTTTCCATCTTTAGAAGGTCGAGTGGAGCAGACCGGGCATTTTCTAGGGGCAGCTGTAGTTGGGAGAGGGAGGTACCCAAAGTGTGTTTTCAGAGGACAAATGCAGACTCAACTCGCCGCTGAAAGGACCCCAGAAACATCCAGAACTGAGTCTTATTTGCTTCTGAGCGGAGGGCTCCATCGCCAAACCCTGTCGGCGGTGACCCGGCGCTCTTCTCGCCCGGAAGGGACGCGCTTGCCGCGGTCTCGTTCTCCCGGGTTGCGCGTTCGGTCACGGTGAGCAGCAGGGCCAGGGAGGTCCCGGAACGGCAGTACTGCGGCTTGAACTGGATCTGGAGTACCCACGGGAGCCAGTCCAGGACAAGCATCCTTAACACGACCACCACTTGCTCCTAAAATGTACAAATAGAGACCACGAGGGTGTGTGTGGGATTTGGAGGCCTGAAGCTCCAGGGTCTCTCCTTCTCGGCTTTACCCCTGCCGGGGCGCTCTGAGGTTTTTCTGCAGCCAGAGATCAGCTCGGCCCCTCTCCAGGCAGGCGGCAGTTAGAGGACCCCAGAGACCCAGGACAGAGTGAGAGGGCACCCTCATTCTCCCGGCGTTGGGCCCAGTAGGGCTGCGGGGGCCCCTTTGGATCTGAAGACCTCGGGGAGTCCAAGTTCCCCGAACTTGGTATAGCTGAAGTCCGACCCCGGAAGGCCAGGACCGCGATGCTGGCTGAGGCGCCCACTCGCAGCTAAACCAGTCCAGGCCCGAGCCCAAGGCTGGACAAAGTCGAGCGCAACAGGTCGCGCGCGAGGGCGGAGGGATTCCTGGTTTTCCAGACTGATTTTGAAAACGAACGGTGGCTCTACACTTCAGCCACTCTTTCCCTATCTCCGAAGCTTGTGCCTCCCCTTCTTTCCAAGGTCCCTCCGGAAAGAGAAGCTACCCCCGCCCCACTCCCCAGAGCCGGAAGGGAGTGTCCACCCAGGCCCCTTCCCGGGTCCCGGGCCTGTGAGCCAGAGTCTCCCTGGGGAATCTGGGCGCGCTACGAGCGCTAATTAACAAAGGATTGGCCGCACACTGGGGCTTGGAAGGCAAGCGCCCCCGCCTTGCAGCCCTGAACACGGGTTTGGGAGGCAGCCTCATACCCCGAGGCTGACAAATTACCCAGAGAGCAGGCAGTAGAGTCCCGGCCACAGTTTAAGAATGAAGGTTGTGTCCATCCGCGCTATCTGTGCACGTGCAAAACGACTGAAGCCTTGAGGGTAATAGTAAGGTAATTGGCGGGGGCGGGGGTTGCGGAATAACTTGCTGATGCCTCCTCTGCCCAGAGTTTCAGAGGAACTTCAGGTGAAATAGACGGCTGTCTGTTCGAGCCCGGGGCGAGCATTACCCATTCCCTTGAAGGATTTTCCGCTCCCGGGTTTGGATGTGTGGATCCACAGTCCCACGGTTGTCGAGTGGCGTCTGCTTGGGCCGCCGGACACCCTGCAGAGCGGTCCACGGACTGCTTGTGGCCTCTTCAAAGGTGACCTCATTTCTAGCCAGACACAGGCCTTAAGAGAAAATTATGATCTATGTAAAATAATATCCCTGACTTGCAGGGGTGGGGAGACGTCTGCCACCCCGGCCTTTTTTTGCCCCAACTGGAGGGCCTGGAGGAGATGCGCCTGTCCGCTCGCTGGGTCCCAGGCATCGCACAGGATGCAGTCTGTGGTTTGAGCCGACACCACGAAGCCCTCGGCTCCGGAGAAAGGCTGCCTCGCGTTCACGCGTAGGAAATCAAAGGACCGAGCCCTTGACCACGCGCTTCTTGGCTGGATGCAACGATACCGGATTGGTAAATGCTTGGGTTAAACCCGCGGCCCAGCGCAGCGCCAGGCGAAGCGACCTACATTAGGCCCCCCGCGGTTGTTTGTCAAAAGCTTTGGCGCCGCTATTCTCCCCACTGGAAAATCAGCCGGGATGAGGTCGGATTTAGGGACTGGATGGGGATCTGGGCGCCGCATTGAAATGTGGTGTGGGCCAGCCCCAGTGATTTTGCCCCTGCGTGCCCCTACGGTGCCCCCGCAGCTGGGGGAGTGGGCTGAGAACGTGTGAGCTGGTTCTCAATAAAGAACATATGGTTTGTAGGAAGAAAAGAAGGAAAACGAGGAAAGGGAAGAGAAGAAAGGGGAAGAAGATGGATAAGAAAAAAAGTATTTTTTAAAGGGCAACGAGGGAGGGAGAGAATGAAGTTCACGGCAAATTGTCTCCTACAGACATTTGTTTGGCTCTGCAAAAATTATATCTTATGCAAATAAGGAAGACAAGATGCCAGAGCCCAATTCTCCCTGGGGGGAAAGCGTCTTGCAAAAAAAAAAAAAAAAAAAATTAGAATAGGTCCTCTCTAATCTTCAAAAATGCTCTGCCCAACTCAGTGAGAATCCATGGCAGGGTGGAGAGATTTGCAGTTTAGAAGAGAGATCGAACAACTGCTTTATTTTTGAGAATGCAAGTTGTGTGCCTTTGCGGGGGGGGGGGGGGGGCTGTGTTTGCTTGGGGGTAAAGACGGAGGGGTCTTGCTGAGGCATTGTCTCGTGTTGGAGGCAGCCTGAGCCTTGAGGAAGAGGCGGGGGACCAGAGGTGGAGGAGGGAGTGGAGCTGGAGAACGTTGATGGGAATGAGGGGGGTGGAGGAGGTATGGGGAGACTCCATGGTCTGTTGGGTTTCCTTGAAGTCTGGAGCAAAAAGCAAGGCAAATGACCACTCCAGGAACTCCTGCCCCCCCTTCGGGCGTTTGGGGGCACACTAGGATGGAAAGAGTCCTAACTGGGTTCCAATCGCAGAGCCCTGAGTTGGGGTAGGGTGGGGGAGACGGAGGTTGTGTGGGAGGAGTAGGCGAGGTCGGGGAAAGCTAACAGGACTTTCGCTTGGATCAGGCCAGGTCTCTGACTCCATGTGGCTCCAGTGTCC